TTTCCAATTTCAATTTTTCGTAGCAGATTTTTTTCGCAGCTGTTGATTCTTTACAAAGTTTTCTCCAAAGTTCTTTAGTATTAATAAATCGCAAAGCACTACTAAGACGATTTGAATATTCTTTCAGTTGTGAAGGTAGATGTCGTAATCAGCTTTAAACCTTCTTTCAGGTAGCAATGAGATCGTTATAAAACCCTATAAATGCCTTAGATGACAATTCGTTCTCAAACATGCAGTCTAACACTTAAATTCACTACAACGATGAAAAATTCTCTTTGTGACCTTGTGAGCCGTATGCGCAGCCCGTAAATTATTTCATCACATACTTGACACTTTTTGTTAGAATTATCTTTTCACTTCACTGTTGTTTAATACAAATAATTAGTTTATATTGAACAAATTAAACCGTAATGTTGAAACTGTAGTTGTTAACGCTGAGACTGATGTCTCCCTTATGATAGACGTTCAAAAGCTAACACGAAGTAACTTTTGTTGTGGCGCAATATGAGGAAATTTGTTGAAATTGATTATCCCGTGAAACACTCCGATTAATGCAATGTATTGCAAATGGTGTAATACAAACGAAATAAATATTGTTGCATCATACACCGAAAATGACGTCTTGCAATGTTCATGTGCCCAGTTAAAATTTGTTTTAGACAGCTTTGAAAAATAAAATCATTATAATCATAAATCGTTTTGTAATAAGCTTAAATATTTTCTTCAAGTTTAGTAGAAACAATTTAATTAACAAGTAATAATAAAACAAAACCCGACTGCTAAACCACACAACTTAAAAGTAATCTTCTAAAAAAGACCGGAACACTACGAGGTCCGACACAAATATGGCATATTTTTTCGATATCATATTTTTTTTAAACCAGATTATTATTCTTTATTTAATTTAAATATTTAACTTATATCATATATACTTTTCTAATCCCCTTTTATTTATTTTTTTGATTTTGATACCCTATTCGATGGGTTTGGTTATTTGTTTTTTAACCTATTCTGTTTTTAGTTTTCTATGTATCTATCTACTATTTATTACTACTATATAATAGAACACCTGAGTTTTTGAGACGGCTAAAACAATAACTTAACTATTTGGAACTGTCCGAATCAATTATTTGGAAGATACGAGGTGATAAAGAAACACATGGGTCACTATCTACTAAGCAAGTGGATAAATCTGCTTATCTGCTGTCTTGTAAAGATTACATGTTGTGATGAAAGTCAAGCGTAAATCTGCCGTGCTCAATTATTAACTTTAAAAGTCTGTTCTGATACTCATGTACAATTTGAGAGCGATAAATATCCACTAGTTTTAGTAAACTATGTTTCATTCGTTACTTGTACGCAGTAATACAATCGTTAATATTAAACTTAGAGTATTTGTTTACAGTCATCATGATCAACAGCCTTTAGTAGTCCACTTATGGGTATAGGTGTCACCACAGGAAGGAGATTTTGGCCAAGTTGGTATGGGGCTTGCGTTAAGTTTTTCTTCTCTTTGCAGTGTTGTTGTCCCTCGTAGTGTGTTCCCTTAGTGTGATTGTGTGTTCCATTTTTACAAAACCAGGAGCCTGCTGTCGACGGCCTCGGTGGCGGAGTGCTAGCCTATGCGACTGTTGTGCTGAGGTCTCTACTTTACTAGCTGATCTCATTTTTATGGATGTTCAGATCGTATCGGGCGTACCGTAGTAGATAAAGATTTTAGTAGGATAAATTACGGGAAACGAGAAAGTTGACAACTGGTAATAGTAATATTTGCTATTAGGAGTATACTATCATCATGAACAGCCTCTAGCAGTCCAGTGCTGGACATAGGCCTCTCCTTAAAAAGGAGAATTTGGCCTACTATACCACGCTGGCCAGACGGGCGGGTATAGGGTTTGCGTCAAGTTTTCCTTGTCAAATATATTTTCATACAATACTAATACAATATAGCTAAAGACTTTTTTATTTCTTATCTTAAATACGATAATCACTGGAACTATAAGTCACGTTTGAATGATTATTTTTGAATCAAACACAGTATTTATTTCGAAATCATATAGGCTATGAAGTAATCAGTTACAACTGTAAGCAGCGATCTTGGCAGAAGGGGAACTACTTACCATAAAAATAATAGTACATATTGAAAAAAAAAATATTTTAACATAATAACTTTTATTATTTTTAATATAAAACTACAAAAACTATTTTATTACTACTATGTGTCCGTCGAATTATTTCAAAATTTACGTATTGGCAAATGTGTATCTGCATACTGAGAGATGGACTAAGATATTTACTGAGGTTAGTAAGCTAGGGAACACGAAACTATTATATTATAATATCACTACAGCGCTTATCATTCAAAGTACGTTTTATTTAACACATTACACACATTATAACGCATTAATATTAATAACACATTTTTTTACCATCGATAGTTTAAAAACACATTCCCATATAACTAAAATTCTTGAAAATTCTCTATCACAATATTAAGTTAATATTGTTTAAGAACAAGGCATCAATTTAAGCGATTTTTTCTTTGGTGTAGATGTTTTAGATTTCAAATCTTTTGGTTTTGTGTCGATGTCTTGTCTTTTTCATCAGTCTTGGGGTCAACAGAACGAGTGCTCTTTACAACCTTTTTTGGAGGAAGGGTTTGTGTTGCTGTTTGGGTCTTATTTTTCTCATCAGTCTTAGAATTGTCAGAACTAGTGTTCCTTGTAGTTGTCTTCGGCGTAAGGTTTGGTGTTGATATTAGCACCTTATCTTTTTCATCAGTCTTAATGTTATCGGAACTAGTATTCTTCAGAATTTTCCTAGGAGGAGCGTTAAATTTCCAAGGCTTTATGCGTATATTTCCAGTCCAGTTTTCTGCCTTTAATATTTTTTCCGCAAGCTCCGCTGGTACTCCAATTTTAAAAGAAGCATATTCCGCACGAGTCTTTAAAGCTACAACTGTACAATCAGGATATCCACATAACGACTTAACATATGTAAGAACTCTTTTAACAGTCGTTCCCAATTGGACGTTATACAAATGAAGGTGAGTCCATCCATTCGCCACTTCCAGTCCAGGAGGATAAGTGACTTCCTTTCGTTGAAGTGTCTTTGAGTGAACACGATCTTTCTGTTTCTTGGTCACAACGGTCCATTCGTCAATGTTAGAGCTATTGATATGTTTTCTATCGACTTGAGTTTTCTCGTTATTAGTTTTTAATATCGTGTTATTATTATCAGACGATTGTGATTTTTCACTCGAAACAACGGTATCTGGAACTGAGAGAGAACTACAACTACTATAGTATCTTTCTATATTATTTTCAACGTCAGATGTATCCTCTGGTTGTATTAGTTCTTGATTGTGTTCTAGTTCTATCGTTTCTTCATAATCATTGATTTCAGGGCTCTCATATCTTTCGTAATGGTTATTTAATTTTTCTTTTAATGTATCAATTTCATGATCTTTTTTTTTTAATACCATGTCATATTTACTAATCATTTGTTTCATAGTCGTAGTAATATTAGAAAGCATGTTAACTAGTTCAGCATTCTGGGTCTTGATGTGGGTTACAGTAAGCTTTAATCGATTCAGTTCTAGGTTTAGAGACATATAATCGGAAGACTGATGGGGATGATAACATGATGTGCCATACATTGTTGTATCAACTGGCTTCTTAGCTTTTAATAGATATTTTGTTGATAAAGAAAATATTGTTTATGTGACAGCTTCACAGCATTTAGATTTAAAGTAAATATTATAAAGCTTCCTTTATAAAATGGTATGAATCGGTTCTGTTAATTTTCAATGACAGATTATTGCAAAACAAAACAGGTTTTCATAAATTCATTTGTTGGTTTTTTTTTTGCAGCCGTTGATTCTTTACAGTATATAATCGGGTATCTACAAAGTTCTTTAGTATCAATAAATCGCAAAGCACTAGTAAGACGATTTGAATATTCTTTCAGTTGTGAAGGTTGATATCGTAATCAGCTTTAAACCTTCTTTCACGTAGCAATGAGATCGTTATAAAACCCTATAAATGCCTTAGATGATAATTCGTCCTCAAACATGCAGTCTAACACTTAAATTCACTGCAACGATGAAAAATTGTCTTTGTGACCTTGTGAGCCGTATGCGCAGCCCGTTTTTTTTCCTTTAGATGAATTTTCTATTTTATCGA